TTGGAGGTCCGGGTATTGTTGTAGAGATCGACGAATCGAAGTTCGGCAAACGAAAGTACCACCGAGGTAAACATGTGACAGGGCAGTGGGTATTTCGTGGGATAGATAGTTTTTTGACAACAGTTAATGGTCGATCGGCGGCCACACTCGTGCCTCTCATGAAGGAATTTATTGCACCTGGCACCACAATTGTTAGCGATTGTTGGAAAGCCTATGAATCCTTAGATGCAGAAGGTTACGAGCATCCGACCGTCAATCATTAATTGACTTTCAAAGATCCCAAGACGGATGCTGCCACGAACGTTACAGAAGGATTGTGGGCATTCGTTAAACGGCAATTCCCGGATTGCAATCGCAGCAAAGGTATGTTCTCCTCATACTTAGAGGAGTTTATGTACCGACTTGATCCTTTTGAAACGTTTTTAAAGACATTGCTCGCCTTCATCCACCTCCATCCAACGACGCGGACGCTGAAGAGGACACTGACGCGACGGAAGCAAACGGAAGTGGATTTTGAGGTGGAATCGTCGACGGAGGAAATCCCAAAAAATCGGTACTTTTCAGAGCCACCAATTATTGACGTAGCATCAACTTTTCGATTTAGAATATTTTGCGATTTAGAATATAAAGATGAAAGAAGAGGTTTCAGCTTCGAAATTTGTAAGTAAATTATGTAAATTTATGTATAATATATTTTTTTAGATCTTCAATAAAACTAAATTTGTTTCATAATTTTAAACATGGTTAACCTTTTTTTTCGAATAGGCGGCACGATTATTCCATGCGATTCACATTATATCCGACAGATGGCGGTACGTCAAAAATCTAAGTCACTAGCAGCCAACTTCAGTTCGGAGTCGTATACTGCAGTTTTACCATTTTGCCTACAAGAATTCATGTGTCCAAGTCGAATATAAAATATGCTGGACTTTGTGCATGCACTGTATGAAAACCGGAAGTATTACTTATATTTTTAATGTTATTATACCATCTATCTCTGAAACCACCTCTAAATTTTAGACTGTTTAATTTAGCTATTTGTTTAGCATTATGCCTACCAAATTTTACATGCACATACATATATACCGACACGTGAGCCCGCGCGTACACACGCATCCTTTTTTTCGATTGTGAGTATAAAAGCCACTCTGAAATGTTATATGCAGTTGTGTCTATGAACGAGAATTTTATCTTGTTATACTTGTATAAGTATCTAGTAGAAATAACTTCTGTGACAAATAAACCATTGTCCCACCTATTTCATATATGTTTCACACTGTAACCCTGTTACCTGGCTCCACGAAAGTGTTTACATTCTACGATATTGGCGTATCTGTCTGCCTGCGAAGATCTGCATATGTGTGAATCCGGGATTATCCGAAGGTTTTATTGCGCCCCTTCCGATCCTTCCTGAGATCGATGAAGCACATTTAACTACACACTGGATGCGCGCACGCGCGCACCCATACATCCATAGGAATGAACGCACGAGCGTAAATCCTCTGTTAAACCCTTGTTCCGTGCTGATGGGTTGTTTTTGTTCGCACAATTTCTATCAGTATCGATGCATTGAAAATTAATTTTCATTAATTCAATAGCTGCTCTGGTAAAATAATTATTTTTCAATCTTTTATTCTAGTGTTTATTTATAAAGGATCAAATAACGTACATGATTTTTTTCAGAAATTTTAACACACTTTTACTCAATGAAAAACGCGTTACATATAATTGACCCATCTGTACAGTTTAAAAGTGCCAAAAATAACAGTACGGAATATGAGTTAATAATGACAAATTGCGCTTTTCGCGCAACGTTTAATAAATTTATCTATGAGGTCCAGAGAAACTCATGCAAGTAATTTCACTCAACGAAAGTATTCGAGCAATGGCTGCACACTTTTACAGACACTAAAATGGTATAATTGTAGAAAATCTTAATGGGCTCAACTCGATTCCGTCGCTGGAAATCGAATTATCCGAATTTTCTATTTACTCAAGTCCAAAGGCAAACTCCCCAGAGTTGTGTAAGCTTCCGGATACCACTTCACTGAGATTTTGGACGTAAATAAGATCTACCTTCTTAATTTGAAGGTTCTTTCTGACCGAATCGTTCGAGTGAAATTGCTCGATTGCTCTTCGTTCTTCATCATTTTGAATTTTGATTTATCGCGTTTTCTTCGTTACGCAGGTAAAAATTGATCGATAAAGGATGTATCGCTAGTATATTTTTTTTCATGATCCACGTAAGATCTCATATTGAAACTTTTAGTGAGATCATACCATTCATTTTGAGGCACTGAACATTAAATTGAAAAAACTGAAAAAAAAATCTGAATGTGTGCGTATATGTGTATGCGCACGCGTGCACAATTCTGTAGGCAACATGGAAAACAAATGGCTGAACCAATAGGATTAAAATCTATGGAAGAAATCAACTTCAAGATGCAGATGGAACGACGACATTTGCATTTGTTCTGAATTTCTGAGAACAAATGGTTGAACTTGATATTTTCTATAAATTTTATCTCGATTAGTTTAGTTATTTGTTTGGAATTTTGCCCATATATTGTTGCGTGTGCACATGCACTCATGAAACTTTTTTTCAATCCCGAATGCAAAAGACACTCCCAAGATAAATCTTATTAGACGTATGTGTGTGGGATCTTACGTCGATTATGTAAAATGATCTATCAGTCATCTATCCCGTATATAATAATTTTCACCAATATGAATAATGTCCATAGGATTTGAATGAAGACTATTAAATTGATAATAGTATAGTATAATATAGATAAATGTATTTTTCTGAATTTCGTATATACGGATAATCAATTTTGGTGCACATTTTTCTATAAAAGTATGGAATACGGAAATAAACATTAACTTACCAATCTGTTTGCCGATGCATCGTAAGCGGGATTGTCTATTCCTGTAGCCATCGCAAATCTGGAAATATAAACAAAAGTTAAAACGTAATAAACTCTCGGTAAGTACCGCAGGGGCGGTCTTATTTAGAGAATATCTTGCGCGAGAAGATAGCCGAGCGGGAGTGGTGCCGACACACGGAGGCCTCAGGTGGCTACCGACGTCAGAGGGCACACTCCCGAGGAAGGAAAGGCTCGTCTCCAACGAGACCTGTTAGGATCGCGAGGGGATTAGCGGATTCGGTAGGGCCACCGAAATAGGGACAGGTCTTGGGCAGGCTAGAAATCACGACTCGGAATAGTCGTGAGCCGCCGTTGGAGGACACACTGTACGCGACCGGATTTGTATTGTAAAATCCGCCGTTTATTTGATGGTAATAAACGGAACGGTATCCTACTCGCTGTTTTATCATTTTGCGCGCCTATCCGTTGACTCCAAAATTCTCTCTCGTCGCGCCCATGTTCCCCTCTACCATTTTCAGTGCGTTGAGGCTGAGCCGCCGGGAAACCTGAAAACGGCCGTGGTGAGGGATGGTGGTGCGGGAAAGCCGCACCTGGCGCCCAACAATTAGATCTTCGGACCTTTTCTTTGATAACAGCACGTTGGGAGCAGCCACGGGATTATTTGTAGGCGACGCCGATGAACGGTACACGTCACAAGGTATTTTACGTATTTAGGATAGTGGAATTCGGGATTGTAAAGAAAAGAAAACGAGTATACAGTGCTGACTATGATTGCAAAAGTTTTATTGGTTTGTCAATTTCGATAATTTTTTCTTGACAACAAACTTTTGTATCATTTTCAAATTTTCTTGGTGGGCGCATTGCCGCATTCTTAAACGTATATAGTACACTATCGCGTATGACAATATTTGGGTAGCGTGTTCTATATATGGGAATGTAAAATCATAAGATGATAAAACTTCTTCGAGCGTGCATGCAAAAACATCGGAACGCGATGCATATCTTGCGAAGGAGGTTTCGACATAGCGAATGAGATCGAAAAACTGTGAATTAGCGTGAATCAGTCCATCTCTCGATTTCTTGTCGACTAATTGCGATACCGAAGACGTACTCGCTCTTAAATGCTCTGCACCTTTCCTCCAACGACTCAACGCTAATGGACGCTATTTCCTCGGCTTTTCTTCTCAAAGACTGCAGCAATAAATGCACGCGTTGTTTCGCTCGATTTTTCAAGCGTCTCTCGCGGTCGCTTTTTTTTCGCAGCGCCAGTAGCTTCTTTTCGTCGATCGGATTTGATGCTCGCAACACGCGCTTTGTCGTGCGATTTTCTTTTGCTCTAACTTCTCGTCGCAATATTCGTTGTCGCATTTTCTTGCACCCTTCGCACTTTTTTTGTTTTGATAACAACGTACAGTTGTTATCACGCCATCGATCAAGGCAATCTTTAAAAACAGTATCGGCGGACAAATAGTGAACTTTGACAGCACCGAGACCGCCACAAGCTTTCATTCTTCTAAATTTTTCCAAAGTCTCTGCCAGTAGCGACGTTTCTTCTAATACTTCAACGAGCTTACATTCCTTTGGATCATCGGTGTGTCCATAGAGACTGTATCGAACTCGGTTGTCAGGATCAACCATGACACTACGTTCGATTACCGGAATTTCCGCTATTTCCCCGTTTTGATTCCAGGTGTGAGAATACTATCGACTGTCCTCTCTCTGTTAACAGTTCTTTACAACCCCAAAATTTCGGGATAGTGATGCAGACTTCAGTACCTGAGGTCACTACGGTATTACCATCGTTAACTAGGATATCCCACATTCCGAAGTCTCTGCTTCGTGGAGGTACTGTAGAACAATCCGTCATATTTGCCTCCTTTTCCGCTTGAGGACAGACCGAATCTTGAGGCAGACTATTCTCGTTTCCAGATACAGTTTCTTCTAAAGTATGAGCAGTTGCTGCCTTGGAGACATCCCTTGAGGTAGAGCCCTCCATGCTCACATCTGAATCAAGAGTAACAAATGTTATTACATGTATCTCTTAAGAATATGTTTTTCAGATTTCCTGAGATGGAAGAATTAAAGTTTGTGAAGTTTAGTTCGTTAATATGTCATTCCTTTAATTTAGTAAGGCAGCCTAGGATAATCGTAAATCAAATTTTTCTAGTGACTTTGTTCCTTGATGATAATTCAATTTTTTTACATTTCAAATTGCACCCCAATGTTAAAAATGAGCTTGAAGGTAAGTATAATATTGGATTATGATTAACTCCATTTTTTTTGCAGATATTATTTATCAACAGAACTAACAATTCTGTGTACATTTTTTAATATATTTTTATTCATTATTATAAATTAATTTGTTTCTGTTTCAAAGCACATCGGAATGTTGGAAATCAATTTGGCGGTAAGCATTTAACTTAATCTAGACGGGTAAACTCCCTGGGCATATCATTGCGTATCATGGCCACATGTACACGGCTAGGTATCGTGTACTATCATTGACTCAATACCTTTCATCTTTCGGATTGCTTTTATAACATTTTCAATCATCGCATATTCCTTTGGTCCTATCGACCAAAGGATACCGATATCGATCATTGATACATTGCTTTATTTTTAGCAAAAAATAATACTCATGTATATACCAGGACATTTTAAGGATTGTGCAGTGTCAAGAATGTACTCCTTCGATTGATCTTCGCATTCCAAACAATTCGGAGATGCTGATTGCACAGCTTCGCTATCCTCGAATATTTTTGGTACAGCATCCTCAATCAGTCTGGGACGCTCGTATGCTGCCTTCAATCAAAGTGAAAGAAGTTTATGCAAAATGTATTAAACACTATTGATAGTTCAATGCACGAGAGATAGTGTAGTAAATGTTACTGTTTACATACTACGGAAACAAATAAAGTGAAAGGACTTACTTGGGCTATAATTTGACCATTGGTGTCGCGTTTGATCCACTGTCTGATTCTGCAGTTTTCATCGAAGTGTTTTTCGCAAATGTACTGCGACTGCTTCAGTACAACACCCCGAATCGCCGCTTTCCATTTTTTGTACTGCTCAATATTCTTCGGCACTTTAAGGGGTCTACCCTAATTAGAATTTTCAAAAACTCGATTTTTTAATTGCATTTTTCGAAAGTATACATATTTAAAAGTATCATACTAAAATTTTATAAAGATCCGAGCAGTCTAAGTGTACTTTTGAGCGACGTTTACTTAGCTACCTGTGCGCGCTAATATACGCACCGCTCGGAGCGGTACTACCTACCTGCCTTTGTATACATGAAGAGCTGCTACCTTTTGTAAATATACTATCCGCCAAAAAACACTTACGTGTAAAAAACTACGCCAAGTACAGGAGTGCTGTGTATTCCTCTAACAAAAAGTATTGATATCAGATTATGGAGGCCAAGTACATAAGTCACTACATGTTTGCCTATTATATGATCTAGCACTGGCCCATCATTTTAATTGTATTTCCAAAATTTCTTATAACGTTTTCACTACTCTTTTACATTACTACTGCTTCCCGTAGTTGATTATGATTTAATGGTCATTTAATAATTAATAAAACTTTAGGTAATTCCTTATCGAGTACTACTTCGCGGGTCCGTGCCAGGAATTCCAAAGTACTTACTTTGAGCGTACTAATAGTATCCTAAAACTATATGTGTGTTATTAAGCTTTTACCGTGATTATTTTTGACGAGTTATTGTGAATAAGCTGTATATAGAAAGGTGACATTGGTTTTGAGTTTGATGACTGGCATAATGAATACAAATTTATGTCAAGAAATGCACGAACGCGCCAAGTAGTACTCGATAAGGAATTACCTAAAGTTTTATTAATTATTAAATGACCATTAAATCATAATCAACTACGGGAAGCAGTAGTAATGTAAAAGAGCAGTGAAAACGTTATAAGAAATTTTGAAAATACAATTAAAATGATGGGCCAGTGCTAGATCATATAATAGGCAACGATGTAGTGACTTATGTACTTGGCCTCCATAATCTGATATCAATACTTTTTATTAGAGGAATACATAGCACTCCTATACTTGGCGTAGTTTTTTACACGTAAGTGTTTTTTGGGGGATATCACAAGTTTTTGTTGCTCAACGGGACATAGAAGCTCTAAGCACTGAAATCTATATTTTCATAGATATAAAATGTAAATGCATTATGATGTCGCTAATCAGAAGAATATATTGCGTCGTCGAAAATGTTTAATGGCATATAAATATAATTTGTGAGTCCATTTTTTTTAGAAATGCATAATAGTACTTTGTGATACGAGTGCGAGAAAGCGAACTTTATAGGCAGGCGGTGAAGTTAGTCGTGCAACCAACTTCACGAGCCGCACACGAGTAACGAGTAACACGAGTAACAACGGCACGAGCCGAAGGCGAGTGCTGCTTGTTTTACGAGTGCGGCGAGTGTGACAAACTTCACGACCTGCGTATAATGTTCGCTTTATTGTACCAGTATCACATAATATTTTCTGTAACGAATGCATGAAAAACGCTACTTTTTGTGCCTCCAAAGTAACTGGAACATCTCTTCATTGGAGGAGGCCGCCATAAGAAGAGCAAGGAAGGGTTACAAAGTGAATGCATTTCATGACAACGCGCGAGAACAAAGTTTACTTTATCGCACTAGTGCGATAATGTAAAATTGGGCCGATTTGCGCATGCGCAGCATTTTTATCGTATCCTTATTTATAAAGCGCCACTTTCGCCACACTTTGGAGGCACGAAAAGTAGCGTTTTTCATGCATGAGTTACATAAAGATATATACAAATTTTTAAAGAAAATGTAATCTTCAGTGCGTATAAGCGTCGCTAATGATGTCCAGCTTGTTGAAGCCGTGTGGTAAACGTAAGAGAGGAAAGTGTGCTGGATTATTTACGTACCTCAGGCCGTGC